CTACTAAGACTACTGCCACTACTACTACTACTACTACTACTGCTACGTCTACTACTACTACTACTACTACGACTACGACTACTACTACTACTACTACTACTACTACTGCTTCTGCTGCTGCTGCTGCTACTACTACTACTACTACGACTACGACTACGACTACGACTACGACTACTACTAACTACTACTACTACTACTACTACTACTACTACTACTACTACTACGACTACTACTACTACTACTACTACTACTACTACTACTACTACTACTACTACTACTACTACGACTACTACTACTACTACTACTACTACTACTACTACTACTACTACTACTACTACTACTACTACTACTACTACTACTACTACTACTACTACTACTACTACTACTACCACTATTACTACTACTACTGGCGGTCTCGTGCACCACATCACCACGGCTCAACCACCTAGGGAAGAGCGTCCTAGTGGCTGCCTCATTACCAGTATGTAGCGCGCACCTCCTCTGGGTGAAAGGGCGGGTCTGTCACGCCTGCAACGTCAGGCGCTCGCACCGTGGGCAGTTGGGCCAACAGCCTAAGGTGAAGCGCCAGCAACGGCACAGCAGCGCACGGGGCGACCCCAGCACCGCCACCCAGGCCGACTAGCGCGGAAAGACGCGAGGTTAGGCGTGAATGACAAGCCAAGGGCAGGTCTGACGTGCATGCAGCAACTGGCGCCTGGCCGAGGGCAGCTGGTCCCTACAGCAAAAAGTAAGGCGCAGGCGGCAGCATAGCAGCACACGGGGCGACCCCAGCACCGCCACCCAAGCCTACAAGCGCAAGAAGGCGCGAGATGAGGCCAGGATGGCAAGCCAAAATGGCCAGGCGCCCGACGGCGACGCTGCAGTACACGGGGCTGCCCCAGCACCGCCAACGAGGCCAACGAGCGCAAGCGAACGCGAGGAGGCCGAGATGGCAAGCCAGTTGGCGAGCCAAGGTGGCAGAGTGCACAGGTAGCCAATTGCCTGGCCTAGGCACAGGCTACATGTGACGCCACGCGGGTGGGGGGCGCCTCTATGGGCCCGCCGCACTACAGAAAGCCGCAAGTAGACAATTTGGCATGCACTCACGCGGCCTGCCAGGGCCCTGGAACCTGCTGGGCATGTTTCCTCAGGCCTGCTGGCCTGTTCCCTGCGCGATGGCGGCGAAGACCCGCGACGGCAGCGCCCGCGCCTTCCCGCCGAGGTCGCCGCTGCCCCCCGCCTGCCCTGCAGGCCCAAAGATCCGACGCTCGAGGTCTTCACCGAGGGCCACGTTCAGGGCTGCAGCGCTTGGGGCCAGCTGCGGGAGCACGCCCGTCTGCGGCGGCGGGTGGGTCGGCGGCGGCGGCGCATCAGGGGGCGTCGTCGGCGGCGGCGGCGGGGGGCCCATGATGGCTACGGCCTCTGGCGGGACTCCCGCCGGCGGCGGCGGCGGGTCCTCGCCGCCTCGGGCCCCGCTCGCTGGCGGGGCATTGGCGTTGCGAACGGGGGTGGCACGCGGGGCGACCCCTGTGCCACCCCCGCCGCCCGAGAGGCTGCCCGCTTTCAGGTTGTGGCGGCGCTCGCAGTGCGCCAATTCCCTGTGCGCCATCTCCAGGCGCTCCCTCTTGGCTTTGTTCCGCGTCTTCTTGCTGTACCCCGCCCATTCGGGGTCGTTCAGCCCCCAGGCGACCTGCGCGTAGAGGTCGGTCCACTCGAACGTGGGCAAGCTCCCCCAGTCGAGCCCCTCCATCAGCACATAGTGGCCCTCCCATTGTGCCTGGTGTGGAGCGTAGCGCTTGAAGACGGTGCCAACCGCCATCGGCTCTACCTTGGGCAGGTGCCGCAGAAGGTCCACCGCGCTGAGCACTGTGACCCCCTCCTTCTTGAGCTCGTCGTAGCGCAGCAGGGCCCTCAGGTCGCGGATGTCCTCCTCGGGATGCTCCGCGCGCGTGTAATACGAGCGCGGCGGCTTCGCCTCCTCCTCTATGAGCTCGACGCAGACTCCGCAAGAGGTCGAGTAGCGCGCCCCGCAATGGCAGTACCAGCGCTGGCCCGTCTCTCCCGCTGCCTCCTGGGCGCATGAGAGCAGCTGTGTCCAGCGATCCGATCGGATCACCGAACAACACCCTCTGGGATTATCCCAGGTCTTGTTGGCCGCGCACTTGTAGTACATGTTGAACGTGAAGCCCTTGTCACGGTAAAACTGGTCCGCGTAGTCGCCCATGCGGCGGTAGGCCTCCTGCGCCGCGGTGCACCCTGGCACTCCTCCTTCCAGGCACGTCCGAGGCCTCCAGGACACCCCTCTCCAGCCTTCCCACATCCTCCTCCGCCTCCGCGTCCAGCGCGTCGAGCCACTTCTGGACTCCGTCCTGCGTCTCGGCGCCCCTCACCATGTCCTCCTCCTTCTCCAGGATGGCCCCCCAGGCCGCCCAGCATGTGGGCGCGCATGGTCTCGAATTTGAGGGCGCCATAGGCTCGCGCCATGCGCTTCAGCGACTTCTTGGATAGGCCAAGCCGCAGCAAGGGCCCGATGTCCGTCACCTCCTTCACGGTCTGGGCCTCGGTCAGCTGGGGTCCCTGGTCCTCCGCGTCCGCGTCGGGCCGGGGGTCGTTCTCCTCATCACTGTGAGGCTCATCCTCGAGGGGCGGGGGTGGCGCACGGGGCGGCCCTGGCACCACCCCCGCCTCCCTCGCCATTGGGCGACCCACCTCCTTCGCCACTTCTTCCGTGGCTGGGGGGGCGCCTGCACTCTCGGGGTCGATGCCCACCCCCACTCCTTCCGTTGGCCTCCGCAGGGCAAGCAAACCCTTCTCAGAGAGCGCGAACCCTACCAGGACGTCCATGCCCTCCTTGATGTAGTCAAAGCTCGCACGGAACTTCGCTACCCGCTTGGCGGCATGGTCGATGGCGCCTGGGCCCGTGTTCGCGCGCGCAGCGCGCGTCACGGCCTCGTGCTCGGAGATGTCCTCCGACGTCGCCACGCAGTTCGATCACATGTACAGCTTGAGCTGCCCCTCTTTACCCCTCCTCAGTTCGGGGTGTTCCTCGTTGTCCTCCTTGGCCATCGCATAGCGACGCATCTCCGCACAGCTGAGCTCGTCCACGTACTCCACCGCTACTACTACTACTACTACTACTACTACTACTACTACTACTACTACTACTACTACTACTACTACTACTACTACTACTACTACTACTACTACTACTACTACTACTACTACTACTACTACTACTACTACTACTACTACTACTACTACTACTACTACTACTACTACTACTACTACTACTACTACTACTACTACTACTACTACTACTACTACTACTACTACTACTACTACTACTACTACTACTACTACTACTACTACTACTACTACTAATAGTACTACTACTACTACTACTACTACTACTACTACTACTACTACTACTACTACTACTACTACTACTACTACTACTACTACTACTACTACTACTACTACTACTACTACTACTACCGTCCAGCTCCTCAGCCTCTAACTGTTACTTCTTACCACTACTACTAATACTACTTACTACCTACGACGACGACGACGACTTACTACTACAACCACACTACCACTATACTACTACTACATACTACTAAATACTACTACTACTACACACTTACTACTATGACACGACGACTACTACTTACTACTACTACTACTACTACTACTACTACTACTACTACTTACCGACTACTATACTACGACTACTACTACTACTACTATCCTCCTACTGCTTTACTGCTACTTCTTACTACTAATACTACTATACTTACTACTACTACTACTACCTACTACCGAGTACTACTACTACTACTACGACTATACTACTACTACTACTACTACTACTATACTACTATCAACTACTTACCACGACTACGACTACGACTAATACTACTACTACTACTACTACTACTAATTAATATTAATATAATACTTACAAATATGTACTACTATTTACTACGACCATTACTACTCACTACTACTACTACTACTACTACTACTACTACACTGCTGCTGCTGCTGCGCTGCTGCTCCTATAACGCGGTGGCGCAACTACTAATACTACTACTACTACTAAGCCTACTACTACTACTACTACTACTAATACTACGACTACTACTACTACTTAATACTTATACTATACTACTACTACACTCCTACTATACTATTAATACTTATACTACTACTACTACTACATACTACTCCTACTACTACTACTACTACTATACTATACTACTACTACTATACTACTATTACTACTACTAATTCCTACGACTACTACGACTACTACTACTACTCTACTACTACTAACTCCTACTACTAATACTACTACTACTATTCCTCCTCCCCTCCTCCTCCTTCTCCTCCTCCTTCTCCTACTCCTACTCCTACTCTACTCATCCTCCTCCTCCTTCTCCTCCTCCTCCTCCTCCTCCTCCTCCTCCTCCTCCTCCTCCTACCCTGTGTCCTTTCCTCCTCATCGCGCCGTCGCTTTGCCCAGTTATGGCACTGACCGCGAATGTGTACCAAGGTGGACGCTTGCGGCCGCATTGCTTTCCAGCGAGGTGGCACCATGACAATTAGGCCCGCCAACGCTTCCACCTCCTCCCCCTACTTCCCATCCCCATCCCCCCCCCTCCCTCTCCCCATAAACTCTCATCCCCCTTTCCCGTCATTCTCCCCACACTTCTCATCGAAGTGTCCAATCCACCCACCCCTTGGAAGTTTGGGTTCGTTGGTCGAAAATCGACCCCCCCGACCTGCCCAGGGCCAAATTATTGAAGGAAATCCAACGGCCGGGTCCGCACGGCCCTAGAAGAGCGCAATCGCAGTTCGATCATCGATCCATGCCCCCCCCGCCCTTCCCTCGACCTGCCATTCCCATCGACCCACCATCCTCGATCTTCGATCCCCATCGATACCCCTCCCGCCCACCCACCCACAGCACCCCCTTCGACTCCTGATCCCCCCCGCCACCCTCCTCGATCCTCGACCGCTGGTAACTGCACTGGCTGTCGGCCACCACCGATCCCCGATCCTCATCGCCCCCCCCCCGACCTCTGCGCGCGGCCCCGCGTGCCCAGGCGGCGCTGCCGCGGCGGCGCTCCCGCGGGCCGCCTACGGCGGCCGTGCTTCAGCACGCGCCCCGCCACGGGCCCCCCGGCCGCCTGGGAGGCCCGCGCTCGGGACCGGAGGAGGGGGCGGGAGGGGCGGGAAGAGGGGAGGAGAGGAGAGAGGCGTGAGAGGGGGAGCAGGGGCAGGGGCCCAGGGGAAAGAGCAGGCGCAAGGGCTGGAGGAGGAGGAGAAGGAACAGACTAGAAAGGAGGATGTGGTGGTGAAAGTGTATAAGCACATGGCATTAAGGCGAATGGTTTCAGGCGCGTGGAAGGCAGATGAGTGTCAATAGCGCGGTGCATGTGTATGGCGGAGGGTTAAAAACGCGTATAAGGTGGGCACGGAAACTTGGCCAGCCCCCACACCCCAGAGCAAAAAACAACGTCGGCAAGGGTGGACCATTACAACAGGCAAAGAAGAGAAGGGACAAGTGAACTACCGTTCGAATCTGGCGCTCAAGCACGTCCGTCGTGCTTCCGGTAGTTCCACCTCATCCATATCCTCCTCCACCTCCACCTCCAACTCCAACTCCACCCCCACCTCCACCTCCACCTCCACATTCTCCTCCTCCTCCTCCTCCTCCACCTCCTCCTCCGCCTCCTCCGCCTCCTCCTCCCCCTCCTCCTCCTCCTCCTCCACCTCCCCCTCCTCCTCCTCCTCCTCCTCCTCCACCTCCTCCTCCTCCTCCACCTCCTCCTCCTCATCATCATCATCCATTCCTTTTCCTTATAAATAACTGCTCCCTGTCGCATCCTGAAGCCAGTTTTTAGGGCGGGCCAGGCGTTTCGCCTGAGACTTCCTCACAATGTATGATTCTGAAGCTTACAAGTTGGCAACAGCTTCACTGATGGAGGGCGGGTCGTTTTCAAAATGTGGCTCTCGCCCTAGCGCGGCGCACATTCGTTCCAAAAAATTACACAAGTGTTTCACGGATTGAGGGCGGGTCGTTCTCAAAATGTGGCTCTCGCATTAGCGCGGCGCACATTCGTTTTAACAACTTGCAAGAGCTTCACGGATTGAGGGCGGGCCGTTTTGAAATTAGGCTCTCACCCTAGCGCGGCGCACTTTCGTTCTTACAATTTGCAAGAGCTTCACGGATGAGGGCGGTTCCGTTTCAAAACGTGGCTCTCGCTTTAGCGCCGCGCACATCCGCTGTAAAAAATTGCAAGTCGTTGTTACAATGTGCAAGAGCTTCACGGATTGAGGGTGGTTCCATTTCAAAATGTGGCTCTCGCCTTAGTGCCGCGCACATTCGTTTACAACATTCTCAAGCGTTTCACGGATTCCCATCATCAACGTACCAGAAATGGTGTTTTGGAAGAATCTAGGATTATGCAGGTGCAACAGTTGCGTTGATTATCTGCGTTGAAGTCCTAGGAAAGCCGTTCTGGCACGATTCAGAATCGCCAAGACGCAACAGTCAGGTTGATCCGTGGCGCTGGAATCCCGAGAACAATGTTTTGGCATGCTTCAGGGCGCTTAAAAGAGTGTCTTCCAACGAGGCAGTTCCATCAATGGAAATGAACCGTTCTAGGAGCCTATGAAGAGGGAGCTTGGAGGGAGGGTTTACTCCAACATCGTTGAGGACTCTTGGGTTTACACTTGTCCTCCTCCTCCTCCTCCTCCTCCTCCTCCTCCTCCTCCTCCTCCTCCTCCTCCTCCACCTCTTCCTCCTCCTCCTCCTCCTCCTCCTCACCCCCTTCCTTCGTCGCCGTCGCCGCCGCCATCGCCATCGCCACCGGCAGGTGCAGCGCGGCGGGCGCGACGGCGAAGCCCTGGCTGGCCAGCGCGATGCCGCCGCCAGGCCCGCAGCCCCTGGGCGGGCGGGGACACCAGGAGGACGGGCAAGAGACAAAGGAGGAGAAAGGCGGAGGACGAGGACGAACATCAGCAGCAGCAGCAGCAAGGGCACGAGTGGGAGCAGCGGGGGGAGCAGGAAGACCCGTTGAAGGAGGAAAATGTGTGATATGGCATGATCGCAGTGCTTGTGTTACATATCGCTGACACGGATGCTCGTAACTGTAAGGCCGAGGGCCCTCAAATTAATTGAGCACACATGGCGATATACATACACGCACGTAAGGGGACAGCGAGCAGCACCAGCAGCAAGCGAATGAGAGCATGCGATGACCAATGAACGAGCCATTACCACACTCCTGCACGGGCGCTCGAAGCGTCTGGCGCAAAAAGCGCCGAGTTCAGCCGGGCATATCGGCCTGGAGTTCGATACAGAAGTCAGGGCACAGGAGTGCGCAAACGGCTCGCGGGGCATGCACGCAGGCAGCCCACAGGGCACTTCGCTGAGTGAGCTACACACAGAACTGCAGGATATTCTCAGCTGTCAACACTTCCCGTGCTATGATCGAAAAACATAAGGATGAAAGGTGATCGTCATCACCTCTACATGGTAGCGGCACACTAGAATTATTTTGCTGCGATACCCATCGAAACCTTCGGCTTGTTTGATCCCGAAAGTGCGCACGATCGTTGGAACGAGTAGGGCCATGTCGCAAGTTGCCGTTCTCCTGAAATCCAAAAGCCCCGGAGACCCTGACAAAGGAACCAAAACAAGCTCTGGAGCGAAAAACTGACCTCCGAAAGGCGTGGTAAGATCCTGCGTCATGTGTTGATTGTTTATGTCGGTATGGTGCTGTGACGCAGTATGGCATGATATGTTTTACTGTGTCATGCCGCCTCGCTGTCATGGTATGGTGTGTCACCTGAAAGATTGTGAACGATGAAATAATGTGCTGCGCTGTGAGATGTTCTGCCATGGTGTGTCATCACCCGATAAGTTCTGCCATGGTGTGTCATAGTATGCTCTGTTCTGGTGTGTTGTGAAGTGTGGTGTTGTTATGTTATGTGTAACCAATTCTGGCACAGTTTGTGTTAGCTTATGTCATGTACTGCTATGGTACCGCAGAATATGCCGCGTTCTGTCTTGTTATGCTGTGTCATGCTGTGGACTGAGCTGTGCTGCGATAATGTTTTATGGTGTGGTTTGTTATGTCATAGTGTATGATGTGATGATCTGAGAGAGCGTGATCCACCGCCGCTTTACTGTGGAAAATTCCCCCCCCCTCTTCCTCTGGAACCCGGGGGTCCCCCCCCCCTCCGAAAATCCCCTCCCCTGCTGGACCCCCCCCCCTACCCCGGGCAACACTCCCCCCCTCCCCTACCCCCCCCCCCCCTCCAGAAAACCGGGAGGGGTCAATACCGGTTCGAACCCATCCCCCCCTCCCCTCGGAAAACCAGGGCGGGTCACTACCGGTTCGAACCCACCCACCCCAGTGCTACTGTCCCACCACTGTCCTCACCACCGCCCTCACCAGTACCCAGCACTACCGTCCCCACCACTGTCCCACTGTCCCCACCACCACCGTCCCCACCACTGTCCGCACCCCCCCCCCGGTCTTCGAGGGGGGGGGGGTTCGAACCAGTGACCCCCCCGGTTTTCGAGGGGGAAGGGGGGGGGGTTCGAACCGGTAGTGACCCCCCCTCTTTTCATGATGGACGGGGGGGGAGGGGTTCGAACCGGTAGTGACCCCCCCCGGTTTTCCGGAGGGGGGGGGTTCGAACCGGTAGTAACCCCCAACGGTTTTCCGCCAGCAGCGGTAGAACACGCTCTTTCGATGATCTGTTGTGTCATGTTATGGTATGGCCAGTTCTGGCATGTGATACACGGTCCTATATGTCATAGCAGGCGTGGTTACGTAGATTTGTGCTATGAGATGCAATGTCGTGTTATGTGATGGTGTGACATGTGAGGCGTTGGTATGTTCAGTGTGCGCCCATATTGTATGGTATGCTTGGTTGGCCATGTCAATGAATGAAATGTGCTGTGATGATGTGATATGGTATGCACTGCTCTGTCATGGTGTGTTCTGTTACGAGCTGGTATGTCATGATACGGCATGTTGTTGCGAGGATATGTTGGGTTCGGTGGTATGGTGTTACGCCATGTTTTGTGGGGGGATCGGGTACCTGGCGGCCGCGGCATGCAGAGTGGGCGAGTCGGCGCGGGGGGCGGGACCACTGGGGATTACATGGAGCTGGGGGATCTGGCGACCGCGGCATGCCGGGCGGGGGGGGGGCCGAACCACCAGGGATGCTCGGGGGCCGGGGGATCTGGCGGCCGCGGGTGCGCAGGGCGGGCCGGGCCGGGAGGCCTGCTCTCAAAATCAGAGCTAACGACCCCTGCCTGTCGGGGGGGGGATAAACCTGGCTGCGGCAAGCACTCCGCAGCACTGCGGCTGCCTGTGCAGAGCTACGTGGAGGTCGTTGGGCCGGACGCGTAGATGCAGCAAACATCGGACTCACGTTCACTTGCGCTGGCGGCTCGTCTTGTCCTGCATGCTCGGCGTGGCGTCAATGCCTGCGTTCGGCAGGTTGTTGATGAATCTCCGCCTGGCAGCGCGTAGCGCAGGCTGCTGAAATCCGCCTCGCGGTTCCTCTTGAGCCAGGCGGCGCGCTTCTGGCATGCGCGGCAAGTAGCACGCACGCTGTGGCGAATGTGGCCGACCCGGATATTGCGGCCGCCAATGGCGCACTCGTTGATCTCGCCCACGCGCGCTGTAGTGGTCGAGCAGTTCCAGAACACGATCGAAGCTGATGAGGCACTCTATACTAGAATCGGCGGCGATGGCGCTGCCAATGCTGGAGTTGCTAGGGCGGCCCCGTCCAGCACCCCGCCGGGCGTTGCTGCTGTCGACGACGCTGCCGTCATGCTGCGGTCTTCTGGAACCGAGCATTGCGGCGCCCTGGTCGGGCGCACCGTCGCCCAAGACGAGGCCGCGGCCTCCGGGTGGTTGGCCCTGCCAGGGCGCCTTCCATGGCAGCCAGGGTGGTGGCCCTCGCGCCCGAAGCCCTGGCGCGTCTCGAGCTTTCTCCTGTCCTCGCGCACGGAGTTCGGGATGCTCGGGCACCACGGCGGGCAGCCGTTGGCGCGCAGGATACGGATGACGCGGCGAGCACGCCTACGCCGATGAAGATGCCAACCACGAACGCGATCAGGAGCTGCTGGAGATACCACCAATAACCTGGCTCGGCAGGCGGCGTCGCAGGTGTCGGCTGGCCCTTGACACGGCTGATGCAGGTAATCAGCACAGACGCGAGCCCCGAAGAAACAAGAGCTGTGTGCCCCTGCCCCCAACGCCCTGGCAAGCGCGTCCGCAGCCATGGCCCGAGTCGGGGTTCACACGAGGCGCAGGTAGCCGTTCGGGTGCGGTGCCCGGCCTGCTTGAACACGGAGGCGACGATCCTGAACCGCTTGACCGAAGAATGGCCCATGTCGGAGTGGACGTGAGTGACGAGGCCCTTGCTGTCGGCGAAGATCTCGCCAGGGAGCAACCAAAAGGTGCTGGATGTGGCAACAGCCATCCTGGATCAGGAACCCAAAGGGAGCCTCGCTGGAGCGCATTCGGCGTGAGCTGGCGAACCATCAGCCAGCGTGCCATCGCAACTCCGCTCCAAAGGTGACGCACAGCACAAACTTCATCGGTGTGAACCACTCCGCAAAAAGAACAGAGGCCCACCCGTCCCTCACACCCGTACCTTCCTACTGCGCTGATTACGTCTCCATCCGCCGACGCGCGTCGTACTCCATAGGGGACCCCGTCGTGATGCGCGCAGTCAGAGAAGGGGAGCTGCACACGCTGGAGGAGGCGGCGGATGAGCAGGAGGACGAGCAGGAGAAACAGGAAGGAGGACGAGGCAAAACAACAGCAGCAGCAAACACTGGACCAGGAGGAGCAGGAGGAGCAGGAGAAGGTGGAGAAGGGGGTAGGAGAGTGGCGGCAACGATAGGAAAGGGATCAAGAGATGTGGCCAGCGGTTGGACGAGAGCGCCATTCTGAACGACGGGGGCGAAGCGTCGATCCGAAAATGAGGCCCGCGTTGCCGCGGGAGCACCATTTTGCTGAAACACAGAGAAACAATCGTTGCAGAAAATGATAGGGAAGACACTGTTGTGCAATCCTGCGTCAAAGACAATGCGCAGGGAGGGCCAGATAGCTTCCCGACGGAGTCATGGGAGACAGGAGATAAGATAAATAATGTTCACTTGTAGAAAGGAGGAAGGAAGAGGAGGAGGAGGACGACGACGACGGCGGCGGCGGCGGCGGTGGCAGCGGCGGCGACAACGACGACCACGACGACCACCACGACCACGATGAAGACCACGACGACGACGACGACGACGACGACGACGACGACGACGACGACGCCTGGGCCTAGCGAGAGCGAGCCCCAGCCCGGCGACTGCGGCGGCCGCCACGGCACGGCGGCGGTGCCGCGCCCGCGCTTGCCCCGGCGCCGGGCGCCCGGGCACCCGCTCCTGCTGGGCGGGGCTCTCCTTCGAGCAGAAGATCGAACACAGAATTGATTTGCCCCAACGTGGATTTGTTCGTCGATCCTGCGAGAAAGGACATACAATGTTCACTTCCCTTGTAGATTCGACGCTTTTTTGTACATTCGACGAAAACACCCATTTGGGGGAAATCAATTCTGCAGCCGATCCTTCTCGCCCCATCTCTCCATTCTCCCTCCCCTTGGGGCCCCATCCCTCCCTCCCATCTCCCTCCCCCCCGAGGCTCCGTGCGCGGGCGGCCCGACACTTCTTCTTGGCATCGGCCCGCACTCGCGCAGGGGCCACGCGCGCTGCCCCCGCCGGCTGGGATTCGGCCAGAGTTGGTGGCCGCGTGCGACGAGCACTTCCTGGCCAGCGCCGTCGCAGCAGCCGACCGAAGTAGGAGCTGCGCGCGTCCGCGCGGAGGGCTCGGCTGGGCGGCCGGGGTCGGTCGGCTGCCGGCCTCGGATGGGCGACGTGGCCGACCTGCTGGGGCCTGCGGCCCAGCCCGCCGTGGTCTGCTTCTGCTCCAGGATGCCCATCCTTGTGTGCCAGGCTGTGATTCTGCTGTGGGTCACGCCAGCGCGAACGGGCTTTCTCACGATGCTGTTCCCAGGCGGGTTAGGGCCGCCTCCGGCCCATGCCGCCGCCGCTCCCGGCAGCTAGGAGCGTGCAATCGCCGACGCCATCTTTCTCAAGTGCTGAACACCGGTACCTGCTGCTGCTGCTGCTGCTGCTGCTGTTGGCGCTGCTGCTGCTGGCGCTGCCAGAGATCGTGCTTGCCCACAGGCCGGCCCCTCTGCAAGTCTACCTGTTGGCAACGAGAAGTACAGCAACGCCGAGTGCGGCACCAACTCCCTGCAGTCCTCCCTGAGCTTGGCGGACTCCGACGACCTCGCCTACGCCCGCACCAACAGCATGGCAGCCCGCGGCGTTGCCGGCTCTGGCTACGTGGAATCGATGACTGATGTCAATGACTCTGTCGTCCCACGTACCACCTGTTCAGTCCTTTCGCGGCGGCACTTGCCCCACCTAAAGGGGTCTCCGGCTTCCCCAGTCGCTGGGCCCCCAGACGTCTGCTGCAGAGCCGCCAGATCGGGCTCATCCTGGTGATTGCGTTCGACGGCCAGGAGTCTCAGGTGCTGAAGTCGCTGATCGCGGCCTCCTTGATGTCGCTGACGACTCCAGCCGCGACTGCCGCGCCGCGCCGACATCCTTGTGGATGGGGAGACCCAGGCAGCAGTCGAAGCTCGCGCATGCTGAACGAATTGTGGACTCCCCCGTAGACGGTTACTTGTGCGGAGACTCTACTCAGCCCAGAGAGGCATAGCAGCTACAGGCTCTTGCCGCTGGCAAGGCTGATAATCTTACTGTTTGTCGCTTTCCTAGCCTATGCCAAGCCTACCCCTGTCGTGCACACGCCTACATACGCACGTGTTCCTTCCTGGCTGACTTGGTGCCCGTAGCCGAATATCTCTCGCTGTCCCGGAATAGTCTGCGTAGCTGCAATAATTGCCGGCAGGCTTCCTGCTTCATCAGCGTCGCAACCCAAAACATACGATGATGATCATTAGTATCATCACTACTGTTATTATCATTCCTCCTCCTGCTCCTCCTCTTCTATTGTCTCATTCGTAAGATGCTTCGTAGTCTTAGTAGTATTACTTATATTCGTATTACAATCAGTCTTATTGCTCATTTCATTAGTAGTAGCATTGTTATTGATTTCAGTAGTATTCTATGTACGATTAGTATTGTGATTCTTGTTCATAATAGTCTTCCTATGCTGATCAACATTGATGTTATTAACAGTATGTTGATTATTACTCGTGTTAGTATCATGCTTCCTCCTCCTACTACTACTAATATTACTCCTCCACCTCCTCCTCCTCATCCTCCTCCTCCTCCTCCTCCTCCTCCGCCTCCGCCTCCGCCACCTCCTCCTCCTCCTCCTCCTCCTCCTCCTCCTCCTCCTCCTCCTGCTCCTCTTCCTCCTCCTCGTGTTCCTCCTCCTCCTCCTCGTCGTGTTCATCCTCCTCCTCCTCCATTTCTCTCCTCACTCCTCTCCTCATCCTCCTCCTCCTCCTCCTCATCCTTCCTCCTCCTCCTCCTCCCCTACGCCTCCGCCTCCGCCTCCGCTCGCCTCGCCTCCGCCGCCGCCTCCGCGTCCGCCTCCTCTCCTCCCTCCTCCTCCTCCTCTCCTCCCCTCCTCCTCCTCCTCCTCCTCTCTCCCCCTCCTCCTCATCCTCTCCTCCTCATCGCCTCCGCATCCTCCTCCTCCTCCCTGACTCCTCCTCCTCATCTCCTCCTCCTCCCCTCCCCACCCTCCCCCTCCCCTCCCCCTCCCCTTCCTCCTCTTCTCCTCGTCATCCTCTTCCTCCTCCTCTCCTCCTCTCTCCCATCCTCTCCTCCTCCTCCTCCTCCTCTCCTCCTCCTCCTTTTCCTCCTCCTCTCCTCCTCCTCCTCTCCTCCTCCTCTCCTCCTCCTCCTCCTCCTCCTCCTCCTCCTCCTCCTCCTCCTCCTCCTCCTCCTCCTCCCCGTGCCGATGACCCCCCTGCCTCCTTGGTTCTCGAAGTGGTCGGGGACGCACGGGGCAGCCTTTAAGGGCCCCTTCAGGGGCCCGACGAGCACCCCGACCACGAGGGCCAGGGACTGGGGGTCGGGGCGACAAAGGCTTAATTCAACAGACGCCCGCAGGTCTGGCGTTAGCCAGGACTGCTGCACGCCTGGCGTTAGCCAGGAACCAGTTCAGGGGGGAAGGGATGACTAGTAACTCGGCTGCCTCCGCATGGCAGGCGTCAGCCAGGACTGCTGTAGGCCTGGCGGTAGCCAGAGCCGCGCAAGTTCAGGGGGGGGCCGGGGCGACTAATCAAAAGGCTACTGCACGCCTGGCGTTAGCCAGGATTCAGTTCGGGTGGGGTAAGGGGGGCTCGTAATTCGGCTGCCTCCGCACGACTGGCGTCAGCCATCTCTGCTGCATGCCTGGTGGTAGCCAGGGCCAGGCTAGTTCAGGTGGGGTAGGGGCGGCTAACCAAAATCCAGCTTGCGCTCGCAGGACTGGCGCTTGCCAGGACTGCTACACGACTGGCGTTAGCCAGGAATCGGTTCAGGGGGGATGTGGGGTACTCGTAGTCCGGCTGCCTCCGCACGACTGGCGTCAGCCAGGACTGCTGCATGGCTGGCGTTAGCCAGAGCCACGCTAGCTCAGGCAGGGTAGGGGCGGTTAACCAGTATTCGACTTGCGTTCGCAGGAATGGCGTCAGCCAGGATTGCTGCATGACTGGCGTTAGCCAGGAATCAGTTCAAGGGGAGGAGGGGTGATTCGTAGTTCGGCTGCCTCCGCACGACAGGCGTCAGCCAGTACTGCTGCATGGCTGGCGTTAGCCAGAGTCACGTTAGTTCAGGGGGGGATGGGCGGCTGATCAAAGTCCGGCCTGTGTCCACACGACTGGCGTAAGCCAGGACGGATGCACGACTGGCGTTAGCCAGGGATCAACTCCCCTGGGGGGGTCGGGGTGAACAACGCATAACGCGTCTTACTCAGGAGGGGTCGGGGCGGCTACACGGTGGCCGGATTCCGCACGGCTGGCGTCAGCCAGGACTGCTGCATGACTGGAGCTAACCAGGCCTCAGCCAGTTCAAGGGGTCGGGGCGGCCAAGGCGAAATTCGGCCCGCTTCCGCATGACTGGCATTAGCCAGGAATGCTGCATGACTGGCGTTAGCCAGGAATTAGGGGGATCGGGGGATTCAAGCGGACTATTCTGCCAGAGGAAACTCCCGCGATAGCAGACAGCCTCGCTCCCAACCTCCTCGTCCTTCGGTCGTTCGGTTCGGCCCCCGCCGCCGTCGCCGACGACGCTTCGGTCCCCTCCCGGCCGCCATCCATGTGCAAAATAGGTGGTGGATGCCCCTATACTCCGCCGCCGGTAAACTATATGTGGCGCTAGCGCACCAACTCCCCCATCCTTCGTTTTGCTGCCACTGTTTGCATGGTGCCGCAGTGTGTCATATTTGCTGTGTTGCATCGCACCTCACGCATGTTGTATTTGCTTCCAGTGTGCTGCATAGCGCCGCACGTCACTTCGGAGCAACGAAATTCGTGACATTTTCGTTGCGTCTTGCATTGGGGTGCGATTATTTACTCCTGCGGGATAACTGCGCCTCCTCGTCGCCGTCTCTGTCGTGATCTCTCTGTCTCTGTCTTATACCCCTAGTGCGTTGTACTTCCGCACCGGGCACGTCGTCGGCTAGGCACTTCTCATTTACATGGCCCCCCTCCCGTCCTCATCGGTCGGGTACTCTCCATCCGTTCACAAGAGGGCCCCGTGTGTAGGACATTCTGCTCGCTGCCCCCATATACAAACTTGCTTGCAAGTAGGGCGGGTCAGCACGACCCACGTGCGTTAGCAGTAGCAGTAGTAGTAGTAGCTGAACGCACATATCATGACGGTAATGTCTGGAGCTGGGGAGCTAACCTACTCATGCTCCCAAGTGCAAGCTAGCGTGTCCCAGTCGCGTGGCGATGAGAGGCCTGCCGAGGCTGCTACTCATGCTGGCGCTATGCCGATGCTCCCCTGTCCCACGTAAAATGGGGGCAATTGTTGTACCATTTCTGCCCCCCCTTCTGAAGGGGGGCGTGAAAGGGGGGGGGACCTGCCCAAGATGGGGGGCCGCGGCATGAGGATGTGCTCCACGGACACGCCCAACTCAGCGAGGGCGCTGCCCCTGCAGCCGCCGCGGACGGCGACGTCGTGCGTGAAGCTCCCGTCAGGGAGAGCCAGGCAGAGGCTGGTCGGGAAGAGCGGCCTGGGCAAGGGGACGAGGAGGCGGCGAGAGGCGAAGAAATGGAGGAGGCAGCGGCGGCTGCTGCTGCAGCTCCGGGGGATGCCATTCCCCCCTCGGCTGCCGGAGGCACTCCTTTTGCCCCAGCCCCAGGGGCGGTGGCAGGCCCGTCCAGGTGGGGCGTGCCGCTCGCGCCGGAAGCGACGGCGGCCCCATTTGATACCAAGCATGGGGCAGCCTCCCAGGGCTCAGACGCCTTCGGCTTCGGCGTCGACGACTTCAGCGAGGAGATGGCCCTTGCAAAGGAGCAGCCCCCCGAGAATGCATGCGAGGGCAGCGGGCCGGTCGGCGACACGGGTCCTGCAGGCCCAGCCGGAGGCGCGGCTGCCAGTCCCCAAAGCCAGGAGGAGGGACGCGTCCCAGGGCACGTGGAGCTGCACTTTGGCCTCGACGACCTGGCCAGGCACGCGTGGAGGGCTAGAGGGCACGCTCTCCTGCGCTGCCGAGTGGCGGAAAACCCCCAGATGCGCTTCGTGTTCTGCCTGCGGTGCGGCGGGGTTTTGGCGGGCCGCAAGCCCGGCAAGCTGCTCAAGAACTTGTGCCGAGGGCGGGAGTCCAGCGCAGGCAAAGAGCAGCTACGGCTGGTGCGCCTGTTGCGCTGGCCCCACTACGGCAAGGGGAGACAAGGTGGAGCGCTCGAGGGGCCCTTTGCCCTAGGGCCCGAGGAGCAGCTGCAGCTCGCAGGCGACCTCCAGCTGGAAGGGGACCTGCCCGCGGCAGCGAGCGGCGGGCGCCGCGCTGCTGCTGGCGACGAGCGCCTTCCCGCCACGCCGGCGGATGCGCCAGGGCCCCAGGGCAGGCGGCCCGAGCCGAGGGCGGCGCGTCTCTTCCTGCTCCGCTGCTACGGGCTCACGGAGGACGACCTCGAGGAGGTCCGCCGTGTCGGCCGCGAGGCGGCCCGCACCCAGGCTGCCGACGCCTCCGACATAGTCTCCGAGGAGGCGGAGCTCGTGGGCTAGAGGCCTGCTGAGGCGGCCCCGGCGCCAGCCCCTTGCCAGTGCCCTCCAAGGCGGATGGACGAGGAAGGTCCAGCGAAAGCTACTTTAAGATGGGCGAGGCGGCGAGGGCCACCCCCATCAATCCTTTGACAGTGCGCAGCAGAACCAGTCGTCCGTCGGCCTGTCGGCCGCGCTTCGGCGCATGTACCCTTACCCTTACCCTTACCCTCCTCCTCCTCCTCCTCCTCCTCCTCCTCCTCCTCCTCCTCCTCCTCCTCCTCTCATTCTCCTCCTCCTCCTCCTCCTCCCCCTCCTCATCCTCCTCCTCCTCCTCCCCTCCTCCTCCAACCTCCCACCTCATCCAACACTCCTCCTCCTCCACCTCCTTCCTCCTCCTCCACCTCCTCCTCCATCCCCTCCTCCCACCTCACACCTCCTCCTCCTCCTCCTCCTCCTCTTCCTCCCCTCCTCCTCTCCACCCTCCTCCTCCACCTCCTCCTCCTCCTCCTCACCACCTCCTCTCTCCCCTCCTTCTCCCCTCCTCCTCCTCCACCTCCTCCCTCCTCATCCTCCTATCCCCCTTCTCCTCCACCATCCTCTCCTCCCCCTCCCTCCTCCTCCCCTCCTCCTCCTCCTCCTCGCACCTTCCTCCACCTCTCCTCCTCTTCCTCCTCTCCTCCTCCTCCTCCTCCTCCACTCCTCCACCTCCTCCTCCCTCTTCCTCCTCCTCCTCCTCCTCCTCCTCCTCCTCCTCACCCTCCTCCTCCTCCTCCTCCTCCTCCTCCTCCACCCTCCCCTCCTCCACCTACCTCCTCCTCCTCCTCCTCCTCCTCCCTCCTCCACCTCCCTCCTCCTCCTCCTCCTCCTCACCTCCTCCTCCTCCTCCTCCTCCTCCACCTCCTCCTCCTCCCTCCACCTCCCTCCACCACCCTCCTCTCCTCCACCTCTTCCTCCTCCTCCTCCTCCACCTCCTCCTCCTCCTCCTTCCCCTCCTCCTCCTCCTCCTCCTCCTCCTCCTTCCTCACCTCCTGCCCTCCTCCCTCCTCCTCCTCCTCCTCCTCCCTCCTCCTCCTCCTCCCTCCTCCTCCTCCAAACTCCCTCCTCCTCCTCCTCCTCCTCCTCCTCCTCCTCCTCCTCCTCCTCCTCCACTCCTCCTTCCTCCTCCTCCTCCTCCCTCCTCATCCTCTCCTCCTCCTCCTCGCCTCCTCCTCCTCCTCCTCCTCCTCCCCTCCTCCTCCTCCGTCCTCTCTCCTTCCCCTCCTTTTCCTCCTCCTCCTCCTCTCTCCACCTCCTCCTCTCCTTCCCACTCCCATATCCATCCTCCTTCCTCCTCCTCCTCCTCCTTCCTCCTCCTCCTCCTCCTCCTTCTCCTCCTCCTGCCTCCTCCTGCCTCCTCCTCCTCCTCCGCGAGGCCCTCTGCGCGGCGCGCGAGGGGGGGGGCGGTCTTCGAGAGAGCAGGGGCCGACCGCCCCGGCATCCTTGTAGGCCGGAGACCTGCAGAGGCTAAAGCCGCACGGTCTCGGCCGTACGTGCGAAAGGACAAATGCCGCTTTTCAACTGCGCTGCGAAGAAATCGTGACGGGAGGTTTTTCGCTATTTTCGGCCTCCGGGGGTCCTTCCCAGGCCTCGGGGCCGTCCAAAAAAGACTCAGGATGAAAAGCCGGTCCCGGGGAAAGGGTCTTGGAACAATGCCCGTCGGCCGGAAGATGTGGGCAGAAGCATGCAGTAGACAGGCGGATGACGTAGATGGCGTTCGGGCCTGCCCAGAGAGAGGAACAGAACGCAGCAAAAGCAGATCGCTTCTTGAAGCAGGAAGGCGCTTGACGTAGGCTGGGTTCTGGGAATCCCGAAACACCTACTGTCAACGACCGAGGGGTCTGTTGGGGGGCCTATATGAGCAACTCTCGGGAGCGGCCAAGAGGGGGGTGTCCAAGAGGAGTGGGTTCACATCATGACCGGAGGCATGTGTGCGGCCCAGCGGGGGGGCCAGGGACGTAATGAAATAAGAAGAGGCGCCATGACATCTGAGGAAATATCATGGCCCCCGCCATGATATCCCCCTCCCCCCTGGTCATCCCCCCCCTCTTTGCCGCCCCCGAAAATCGGGACGCTTCGCCAGCGCTCGAGCAGGGGCCGCGCGGGGCCACGGGCGGCCACCCACCAACAGCCTCGGGCCGCCCTTTCCCGCCTCCCTCGCAGAGCAAGCGCGAGCCCCAAGGCGCAAACATCAAGTCGGGCCTGTCCCCCTACAGGGGGATTTTCGACGAACTATCAATTATCCCACAGCGACTCTACCTAGGAGTTGGAGCCCCTATGCTATGCTATGCTATGCTATGCTGTGCTGTGCTGTGCTGTGCTATGCTATGCTGCGCTGTGCTATGCAAAGCAATGCTATGATATGCTAAGCTATGATATGATATGATTTGAGTTGCTATGTTATACCATGCTATGCTATGCTATGCTATGATATGCCATGTTATGCTGAGCTATGCTCTGCTATGCTATGCTTGGTTATGATATGCTATGCTGTGCTATGCTGTGCTAATGCTGCGCTGCGCTATGCTGCGCTGCGCTATGCTGCGCTAAGCTATGCTGCGCTAAGCTAAGGTAAGCTAAGCCATGCTAAGCTAAGCTAAGCTAGGCTAGGCTAAGCTAAGCTAAGCTAAGCCCAGCTAAGCTAAGCTAAGCTAAGATGAACTAAGCTAAACTAGAACAGCTAAGCTAAGCTAAACTAATTTAAGCTAGGCTAAGCTAGGCTAGGCAAGACAAAGCTAAGCTAAGCTAAGCTAAGATGAGATAAGCTAAGCTTAGCTAAGCTAAGCTTAGTTTAGCTAAGCTGGGTGAACCCATTGGGCGCAACCGGGGGAACCCAGGGGGCGAAACTGGGGGAACCGCCCGGGGCGAGCCCCACTGCCCGGCCCCTTTAAGCAAACATAATAAGAACCCTCTAGGCAGAGCCTAGGTAGGGAAACATACTCCAACAATAATCCAAAAATAGTCGGGAGTATTTTTTACCATTTGGAATATTTAGGAGTATCTTTAATTTTTCGTCCAAAATCCCCCTGTAGGGGGAAAGGCACGACTTAACGCAAACACCAGCAGGGCTGGATCGGAACGTCGTCGGTCGTCCTGTGCTCGTCTTGCCCTGCCCGTTCTCCTGCGCCTCCCTGCCGAAGGGAAGAACGGAACACGGCCGAAGTCCATCGAAGCAGCGTTGAGGTCCAGCCCTGCTGTCCAGGGGTGCAAGGACCCTCCATCGTGAGTTTTCTCCGCCGAGAGGGCGTCTGGGCTGGGGGGCCCTCCTCGCTGAATCGGATACATGCAAGAGTGGCCCTAGGCTTAGGTTGGGCCTGTCCCCCTACAGGGGGATTTTGGATAAGTAAATAAGAATACACAAACAAACACGCCCCAAATGCTCAGCAATACGAAAAATAGTCCCCAGACTATTCTTCTACTATTTTGGAATATTCCTCCTGTAGAGGGACAGGCCCCACTCAACCCTGGGCAAGAGGGACCTCCGGTGCGCGGACTTCGAAGGGCAAGTTGGGCGGCCAAGCCCGAGCGCGCATGCTGCATCGCTGTCAGCGATGGAGGGGCCCCAGTGGGCCAGCACCCGAGGTCACTCCGGCGAAGGGTCATCCTTAGGGCTCGTTTCGATTCCTCCGATTCGATCCGATTCGGGTGCGATGGCTGCCGATTCCGATTCGATTCGATGTCGGATTCCGATTAGGCATCCGATTTCCATATGGAGGCCTACTAGCCTGCCGATCTCCGCCGATCCGATCTCTCCCGAGTCGGCTGCCCATCTCCGCCCATACGATGCACCTCGATGGCCGATCCGACCTGTCGACTCGACTCTGGGCTGGTCGTTCTTTCGCGCAATCGAGCCTCCCATGGGGAAACCAAAAGGTACCGATACCGCTGCTCCCCGGACCTCTCCTAGGGTGCGTTCTGACCAGGGTCTCGAGGCGAATCCGGCGGTGGCGACGAGGGCCTCCGGGGAGGCCCGAAAGTGGGAAAACGAGGAAAAGGTAGCGGTATGGGAACCTCTTCCTGGGCCGCGCTGGCCGATTTACCCCCGTAGATGGGGATACAGGCTGTTCCCTTCGGGTTTCGAAGGGTCTATCTCCAACCTGGGTGTTGAGATGGTGCGGGTCTGGATTGGGCTGGGGATGAAGATAGGGGTCGGCTCAACGGTACTGAGCCGAAGGGCCGCGCGCGGCGAAGCCTCAGGCCGCCAGGCCGTCCGTGCGAGGCGGGGACTTGTCCATATCCACCGCCTGGGAACCGACGTCCTGGTGCCCTAGCGGGCGGTGGACATGGATATAATTTTCGGCCCCCGGGGGCCCGAATCTGTCCATGTCCACCGCCTGCCGAGGCTCCGAAAACTGACCCTCCAGCCGGTGGTCATGTGTAAATTCCCGCCTCGGAGGGCTACGGGCTGTTCCCCTCGGGCTTCGAGCGGGGCGCCCCGGGATCCCTTCGCGCCGCCTCGCCCGCCCCCTGCTGCAGAGGCCGGCCTTCCTTAGACGAGCGCGCCCCCCTGCTTGCAAAGTAGCCACTTCGGAAGCCGGGCGAGGGCTACGAAATCCGTGGCTGCTAAAATCGACCTCCGGGAAATTGTCTTCGTCCTGCCGGGAAGAAGCCCGTTGACTGTTTCGCGTGCCGCGCCTCGTTCCGGGAAGCTGTCTTTTTCTCCTGGGAGGGCCGCTTTAGCAGCCACGGTTTCAGCAGCCCTCGCCCAGCTTCCGACTGGACCCGCCGCAGGGGATGTACGATCGATGACGTCAATGATTTGGACGCCCGAAATGGGCACGGGAAAAATTGGCACAATGTCCAACAACAAATGTTGTCCCAAACCAACAGCGGCCGCTGTTGGGCAGGCGGCCTGCTGTTCCAAATGGACACAGGCAGCGGCGACACGGACAGCGAGCCCTGTTCAAAATGAACAGGAACTGCTGTTGGGCATTGCGCCCACTCTTTCCGTGCCCCTGTCGGTCGTCCCGATCCACTGCTCGCAAAGTAGCTACTCGCAAATGGCCTGGACCCGCCGCGAGGGACCTACGATCGATGCCGTCATGCAGAGGTCCCCGCCTCGGAGTCCGCGGCCCGCGCCTCGTCGGGAGCTGCCAAGAGGGGGGTGTCCAAGAGGGGGGGGGGGGGGGCAAATCGTGACCGGCGGCATGTGCGCGGCCCCGCGGGGGGGGGGCAGGGCGTAATGAAATGAGAAGAGGCGCCATGAGATCTGGGGAAATATCATGGCCGCCGCCATGATTTCCACCCCCCTAGTCATCACCCCCGACCTCGGTCCTCCGTGTACTCGCCCCCTCCTCATCCCCATCCCCCTCCATCCTCCTCTTCCTCCTCCTCCTCCGCCTCCTCCTCTTCCTCTTTTCTTCCTCCTCCTCCTCCTCCTCCTCCTCCTCCTCCTCCTCCTCCTCCTCCTCCTCCTCTAGTCATCACCCCCCTCTTTTCCGCCCCCGGCCTCGGAGGCCGCGGCCCGCGCCTCGGAGTCCGCGGCCCGCGGCGAGCCGTCCGCGGCGGCGGGCGCCGCGCCGGCCGTGTGGGCGAGGCGGGGGCCGCGGCCCCCCGGGGCGGGCAGGCCGGGGGCGGCGGCGCCCGGGCCCCGCCGCGCCTCCTCGCAGGGCGGGGCCCAAGCATTTGTCGTCTTGTTGTTCGCTGTGTTCGTTCTGTTGCCGTCTTGTTTGTTCGTTGTGTTGTCGTGGTGTGGTTCGCGTTGTTGTTCGTGTTGTTGTCGTTTTGTTGCCGTATTCTTGTTCGTTGTGTTGTGGTGTTGTTGTTCGCGCTGCTGTCGTTTTGCTGTGTTGCTGTTTCTTCCCGTGCCTCCCTGCCCGAGCGAAACAACAAGCAAAAGGCACGGCAACCAATCCAGCAAGGCAATGCTTGGGTCCGCCCCTGCCTCCTCGTAAAAAGGCGCCCAGGGACACACACACACACACAATTCCATAGACACGTCTCCCGGGGTTCCCCCGATGTCCCTATCTGTTCTGGATTCTCGTCGGCCCCCCCACTGTTCATACAGGCCTCGGAACAAATTAGCGAACACTCATGCCACATTCATCCGTCAACGCCTCCCCCTCCCCCCCAAGTGCCGCATTCATCCGTCAACGCCTCCCCCTCCCCCCAATGTTCAAAGTTGGCGGTGGGTCTGATGAGATGCACGTCGACCGCAGTCTCCCCCGCGCGTGCCAACATTGAGTTTGGGGGGAGGGGGAGTGTGCAGGGAGTGTTCAGTAATTGTTTCCCTCTACCGTATCTTCCCATCTTTTCCTGGCCCCCGCCGCGCATCATCCTCGTAAAGGCGCCCAGGGACGCACAAAGAAATAGACAGACATCCCAGGATTCCCCCATCTTTTCATATATGTTCTGGGATTTCGTCCCCCCCCCCACTGCTCATAGGTTTCCGTATTTCCAGGGAGTCGACGATTTATTGCGTCTGTGTGCTTTTTCACCTTTTCCAGTGTTTCCCCCCCCCCCCCTTGCCCCCTGACCTCTGAGGGGGCGGAACGCCCGAAGACGAGGATGCGCGTTGCTGCTGTGCTTTAGGCTTGAGTTGGGCGTGTCCCTCTACAGGAGGAATATTCAAGAACAGTCAAAACATAGTCGGGGGACGATTTTCTACTATTTCTAACTATTCTTCAATCTGTTTCGACTATCTTGTATTTTTTGCCAAACATCCGCCTGTAGGAGAATATGCCCGACCTACCTTTCGGCCCGGAAGCGCTCAGCCATCGAGGCCACGGGCAGGTTCGGCACAGCCCCGCCAGGGGAACCTCTGCGGGGGCTGGCTCGAGCTTCGGGGTTGGAGGTCCGAGGAGTGAGGCCTTCGGGCGCTTTGGTCGGCTCTCAAGAAAAACCAACTTAATGGTAGTTCTGATTCTGTGTAGCGCCTGGAGGATTGAAGTCTCCTCTTTTTCTGCTGAATCTTGCGAGCGGATCGATCTGTGAGGGTCCCGGGGCCCGAAGCCGAGCGAAAACGCTCGGCGTGAGCAAGCTGCAACGCTCGGATCTCAGGGAACCCTGTGGCGGGGCGCTGCCACTGGGGCCATCGGTGGGGCCCTTCTACGGGGGGGCGCTGCCGCTGGGGCCTTCGGTGGAGCTCCCGGTGTGCCCCAAGTGGGCCTGGCCAAGATCGGCGTCAGGCCCCCGGAAGGGCCGCGGCTCGCCCCAGCCCAGCCCGCGGGCACTTGGTCCATATTATATACTCCAGATTTCGTAATAAAAAGGGAGGGGGTCTGGACCCTCCAAGACAAGCCATTTCAGACCTCCCCCGTGGGAGAACCCTCCAAAACATCGTCCCCAAACCCCCCAGGCCCTCCAAGATAGCCTGGAAGAGACCCCCCCCCGAAATGAGACCCCCCTCCCTTTATTACGAAATCTGGAGTACCCCCGCTCCGCGCTTCCCGCGGGCAACCCGTGTGGCCGACTGCAGAAGCCTCCGATTCAAACAGCGAGCTGTTTGACATACGGCCGGACCGAGGTAGAAGAGATCGAGGTCGGTTCGGGAAGGGCACGCTGATGTTCTTCGAGTTTGTTGGATGATCCTGCACATCCCGGGGGAGGGCACCCTCGAGTGATCTTATGGTTTGGGATGGTTTGGCCGGCGGAGGGTCTCATGTTCTTGAGGGATGCTCCTCTGTCCGAGGTCCGACCGCACAGTCGAAACAGGGCCGAGGGCCCCATGGAGATAGGACGAATGGAGCGGGCGCCCGACGGCGAAGAAAAGAAGGGCACCCCTCCGAAACCTGGGTCATTATTGGCACTTGTGCCAACCCTAATCACGATAACGTCCGTTACCGACCATCGCCCCCCCCCCCCCCCTGGTAGCGAGACGTCCGATCCAAGAAATCCGCGCGGACCTCCGACAGCTTATGTTTATGTCATTGCTTGTTCCCTGAATGGTGACGTCGCATGCTTACACCCGCTGCGCCTCTTCTCCCTTTCCCTCTCCGTTTCCACGCGCTTCTTCTCCCCCACTCGTCTGCTGTGCCCAACTCGGCCCCGTTGCATCCCACGGCTGCCCCAGACTCGGGCCCCAGAACGCGGTGAGGATTCGCGTGGCGGAGAGCGCGGAGGGAAGTGAGAAGAAGGCCTCCTCAGAAGGCTCGGAAGTCCACCTGCCTTCTGATGAGTTTTCTGAGCTCCCGAATGCGCAGAAAACGTTTCGGGAGGGCGCGAGGACTTCTGAGAAGTCCCGCCGCCGTGGAGACCTTGGATGCGAGGCGCTAAGACGTACCAACACTATTTGTCATCCTTGGAGGCGTACGTCCGAGCCGAAAATCTAGTATAAGCATATTGTCGTAGATTGCCTCCCGAGCGGTATGGCCAGGAAGCGCCCGCCACCGCGCAGATACTATAAGATTTCTCGACGGGCGCGTCGCCCCTGGGAGGGCGACGCACACTGAGTATTAATATGTTGGCTCGCCGCCGATTAGATGAGGAATCCAGGGTCTGGAGGCTGGCGGAATTCAAATCGTGGCTTGGACATGTACGGCCGGCCCTAGGACAGAAGAACATCCCACACCAGCAGATCACTCGAGGGAATCCTCCCCTGGGATGCGCAAGAACACCCAACAAACACGAAGAACATCAGGGCATCCTCCCCGAACCGACCTCGATCCTATACCTCGGTCCTACCGTATATCACCGCCGCCCTCATCAAACAAGTAATCCTCCAGGGCCTGCAGCCTCCTGGGCACGTTCCTTAACGAACGCCCCCACCGTATGAGCAACGAAAAGGATGGGATCCTACGCAAGATGGCGTGGCGACCTTGCGCCGCGGCTTACGCAGGCCGCCAGCGCGGCACGCCACATTTAGAAGAAGAGAAAACGGCATAAGCATAAATTTTTGGCGCTCCGCGCGGACTTTCCGGATCTGCGCTGGACCCCCCTCCCTGGCGCGCGGAGCGCGCCAGGGGCGGCGCCGGAGGCGCCGCCCGGGGGGGGGGGGGGGGGGGGGGCCCAGCGCGGAACGCCAAAAAACCGCGCGGAGCGCCCAAACATGATGTTCATGGCTTTTTACTCCTTCGACACGCGCGACCGTGCGCGGGCAGCTTGCGCGCAGTGGTCGGCGCAGTCGAACTCGTGCTCTGCGTCGCTCGTGTGCTCCCAGGCCTGCCGGACAGGCCCTGTGGCCCTGGGCGGCCCAAAGGGGAGCCCCCCTGGGAGGACCGCGGGGGTCTGCCGAGGGGATCGAGGGGAGGCTCATGTGGATGTTCTGAGACGGGCTATATCTGGCCCAGCCTGGCTTACCAGTGGGTCGCAGGGGCCCTAAATGGCTCAGGGGGGGGGGGGCATAACTCTGCTGGATGTCTGCACCACCTTCGCCACTCAGGGCACTTGTCACCCGCTTGTGAGCCAGGCTGGGCCAAATAGAACCAACTTGGCATCCGCTTCTGAGCGCCGTATCCTCCTAGCAACCCCAACGGTGATCTCCGCAGGAGGGACAGCACTGCTCGGCGGCCCAGGAGCACCTCTCGGGCCAGGGGCGCCCTCTGTCGGCTCCCAGTCCTCGGGGCCGGCGCGGAGGCAGAGCACCGCAGAGCCTCCGGTGCTGCTGGGCGGTGCGGATGCCGGGGTCCTGGACATGCCCAGCTGCAGGACGTCGTGGTGGACCTCCCGCATCGTTACCTTCAGCTCCTCCACGGCGAACGCGGACCTCATCAGGAGTACCACCAGGACCATCTCCAGGGCGAGCGCCCACGCGCAGTAAAAATGGATCTCCATGTTCATCCAAAGGCCAGTGGTATCGTCCAGCATAAGGTCCCAACCAGAGTACTGGAAGCAGGAGCCAGACCCCTCGATGGAGCCCGAGGCTATAAGTTCGATGAGCCTGTCCTGCCAGATCGAGATCACAAGGACGACCTTGATCGCTATGAACTTCTGCTTGGTGTTCCACCGTTTCAGAAGAGGCCTTGTCGCAACGAACAAGATCACAAGACCGTATATACAGACTAGGTTGGAAGCCGCTATGGTCCAATGAAAGACGGTCATGACTTTGACGAAAGTGCGAGTTTCGAGTACGCCGAACAGGTACACTGAGACCACTGCTAGGGCTGGCACCAACAGAACGAATTGCTGTATGAACCAGTTGACGTAAAAGAGGTGGCGCGAAGAGAGGTCATGTTCAGACATGCACGAGCGAAAGCAACAGCCCAAAGGCAACGCTCCAAAATGCTTCTTTGGACCTTCCTTTGCCAGCCCCTCCTGCACTATCTTCACGATCTCAGTGTCCTCGCAGGCGCGGCCAGATTCCATTCTCAGTAGCTCGCTCTCGGCCAGCACCATCATAAACATGAATACACCGAATTTGTGGAGGACGAACGCTTCGTAGGTCTTCTGGACGATCGACAGGAAACGGTTCGGGGTGGGGCAGAGCAGGGTGAGCATCGACAGCACAGCCAGCACGCCAGGGAGCATAGCCACCTGAATCAGCTGTGTTTAGCTCGACGAGCTCACCCTCAAAAAACGCACACCGGCTTCTGTGTGCTGTGTGCATGCGATTTTGAGCCCGAGGGAGCCGCGTGCCGATTTCTGCGGCGTGGAGTTCTGACTGACTGACAAACCATACACCAAGCGGTGCGTGGAGTTCGGCTTCCAAAAACGTGCATTCTCCCAGCTGCAGCATCGGCGGCACAGGCAGCGCGCCGGGTCCGGGCGAGGAGGAGTAGGAGGAGGAGAAGGAGGAGGAGGAGGAGGAGGAGGAGGAGAAGGAGGAGGAGGAAGCGTTTGGGAAGCGTTGGGGAGCAGGGGCCGCCTGGATGTAGAGGCCCCTCCGCAGACTCGGGGGCGCCGTCCGCAGGGCCAGCCAGTGCCGCCCGCCGATCCACACGGTCAGCAGCGTGGCGGCCATGCCGCTCCTGAGGCGCGGGCCGAACGGAGACAGCTCTGTGGGGCAACGACAGATCGCTCGGGATCTCTGGCAACGAGCGGGACTAGAGGATGCATCTGCGCTGCGGCCGTTCCACAACACTCCAGAGCACGCTGCTGGGAAGGGGGAGAGGGAGGAGGAGGGGGAGGAGGAGGAGGAGGAGGAGGAGGAGGAGGAGGAGGAGGAGGAGGAGGAGGAGGAGGAGGGGGAGGAGGAGGAGGAGGAGGAGAGATCCCGAGAAAGTTCTGGAACGCTCTGGGACGGTTCGTCTCTGCCCTGACCCTGCCCGAGCTCCCCTGGAAGATGACCATCTTCACCGGTTCCCGGGCCCAGCAGGTCTCGAGGAAGTGGTACATCGTCGGCATCTCCGCCCCGGCATGGACCTCGCCAACCTGAATGATCGGGATGGTCATCGCCCGGCGATGACGAAGGCTGAAATACCCGCGACCCGAAAGCACGCAATGTAGAACCTGAGCAGAAATGGTGAGGATGAGGCGCAAGAGGAGGAGGACGAGGGGAAGGGGGCAGGAGCAGATGGTGAAGCAGGAGGGCTGCATGAGGGAGGATTGCAGGAACTAGTTAGGGAAGATGAGAATGGCGAAAGAAGGAAGGCGGAATGAGGAGAAGCATGGACGGAACTCCGAAGCGGGAAGAGTGAAGGGGAACGATGGGAGGATAAGAGAGTACGTAAAACGCAAGAGACAGGACGAAAGAGGAGGACAGAACAGCGAGGAGAATGGATGGTTGGGGGATGGGCCATACTGGGCGACAGAGACACAACCAGGGAAGAGAAAACAAGGGGGACCGACCCTGTCGGCGTGTGGAAGACGCTGTTCTGTTTGACTCGCCGTCGTCGTCGTCGTCGTCGTCGTCGTCGTCGTCGTCGTTGTCGTAGCTGTCGTCGTCGTCGTCGTCGTCGTCGTCGTCGTCGTCGTCGTCGTCGTCGTCGTCGTCCTTGTCGTCGTCGCCGTCGCCGTCGCGTTTGACCCCACGTTCCGTGGGCCATCCTCCTCAAGCGAGCCAGCCAAAGCGAAATCAAAACGAAATTGAGAAACTTCGTAGTTGAGTCAAAAGAAAGCCCTTCACTTTGATCCCTTCCCCCCAGGGGGTGGGGTCCTGGGGGGGTTCCCGAGGGGTTTTGGGGGGGGGTCCTGGGCGGGTCCCAGGTCAGAATGCAATCCTCTCCCGAGGGTTCTTTGGGCCCCCAAAAACCCCAAGACAGCCAAGAGGCCCTCAAGACGGTCCAAGAGGGCTTCGAGTCGCCGAACAACCGATCAAAGACGCCAAATATGGCTTCCTGACAGCTCAAGCGGCTGCCAAGACGCTCGAAGAGACCTCCAAGAGCACACCAAGAGGGCCCCACCAGGGAAACGTGCATGATTTTCCCAAGGTTTTTGAAAAGAGGTTTTCAAGGCGGCCCCAAAACGACCCAAGAGGGCCCCAAGACGGCCCTAGAGGACTTCCAGACGGCCCAAGAAGCCCCCAAATCGGCTTCAAGAGGATGCCTACACGGGAGCTCGAACGAACATTTTGAGTCCTCGGCCCCGAGAAGCTCCCAAGAGGCGCCCAAGAGGCCCCAACGAGTCCCAAAGAGGCGCCCAAGAGGCCCTCCAGGAAGCACGAAGGGGTCCCCAAGGGGCTCCCAAGAGGCCCCGAATAAGCTCCCAAGAAGCCCCCAAACTGACCCCCAGAGGCCTGCAATCGCGCTCCGAAGGGGCCCCACGAAGCATCCCTGAGGACTCTGCCCCACGTCAGCGTCGTTTCGCCGCCGTTCCCAGCGTGCCTCCCGCGGTTCCCAAGCGATTTCCCCGTGACTTGTTCTGAGCCCTTGAGCGCCCCGGGCCAAGAGGGAGGGCCCAGAGAGGCTTCCGACCTACAACCCAGGCGCGATGACGCGGTGGGCCGAAAGCCAGTGGATACGCATGCGGTCTAGACCTAAGATTACAAGTGAAGGCCCTACGGCACAGACCTTGGGACACCACCTCGAAGCCCTCCGAGGGCTCTTGGCGGAGCGTTCCAGCGGGGCGTCTCCAAAACCTACTCGGAGACACCCAAAGACCTGGTGGAACCCTGGTCCCGCAAAAAGTACAATTCCGCCAGTGCGTCGACTCCCCGCCTCGTCTCCCCTGTTCCCGTCTGCCACTTTGCGCCCCCCCTCCCATCCCGCCATCCACCACCCCCCGATGTTGTTCCTCTTCTGCCCTCCCTATTTCGTCTTGTTAGGAAAGGGAGGAGGGAGGAGAAAGAGGACGCTAGTAGGAGATGATGGGGAAGCGTAGGAGGATATGCCTAGACATTAAACATGCGTGGTTCGTGTAAGGGTGTGGGGGACAGCGTAAGATGCATGGACCTGGGCATGATTTGTTGCGGAGCATACTTGTCTTGTTTTGACCCGGGCGTGCAAATTGGAAAGCGTAGCTGCGTTGGTATGCGCATTGTGGCAGTAGGTCTAACCAAAAATGTGTGACAACATGGCCAACTGCACTTGACTGGCCGCTTGGAAAGTGCTTTGATTCGCCTCGGGGCAACGGGATGGGCAACGAAATCTGTTTGCGACCTGCAAGTTGCAGGGCTCTGTCGTGAGCATGGACACGTATGTGAAAGGGGCTGGGACCTCTTCGTTCTGGAACCAAATACGAAGCATGTGGGCGCGCGTGGTATAACGGTAAGTCTCTCGACGACAGACTGTTTGCCCTCGCCCAGAACCCCTCATTCCCCGATTTGGGAAGGGGCAGACCTTCCACCATCCAAGACCCACGCCGCAAGATTCCCCCCCTCCTCGCGCGCCGAAGAGGCGCGCTGCTCTGCCCTGCTCTTTTCCTTGCTCGTTCGTGCCGTCGCCCGCATCGTCTCCGAAGCTCGTCGTCGTCTCCTCTCCTCCGCTTCCTGCCGGCCTCGCCCTGCCGTGCCGGGCGGCGCGGGCCCGACGCCCGCACCCGTCGGGTCAGGTCGGGCATGTGCTCCCACAGGCGGGGCTTGAAAGAGCAACGACACAGAAGCAAACATACACTCAAGATGAACGCACAAATGCTCGAAGAGTCGCCCCAGACTATTGCCTGACTAAGTTTTGAAGCTTCATCCTGCAGAGGGTCGAGGGCGAGGGCCCTGGGAAGGGGGGCGCCGGGCCGCCTGGGCCCCTCTTCGAGCCGCCATGGGAGACTCTTGGCGGCCTCTGGGCTCTGGGGGCCGGGCAGCCCCTTCGGGACCCCCCCCGCGCGGTCAAAAGTTCGAACATGCAAAGTGCATCGGACGATAATGTACACTGTTTGCCTCACGAGGCGCTCGCGATGCCCACTGGCGGACTCTTGGATGACTCTGGGGGCCTCTTTGGAGCCTCAGGGCCTCTTAATCATGGGAATCTACTGGAGCCATATTGGCGCCAAGGGTAACCTAGATTGGAACGGCCTTGTTGACATTGGAGGGATTGATCGGCATCATGGGCGCCTCTGGAGGCGTCTTGGGGGCCCATTGGCGGCCTCTGCGGCCCTCCGCGGAGACTCCCGGGCGATCGTAGGGCGATTTGTTACGCAGCGCCCCGAAATTGCGGATAAGAGTGAGGGGGCGGGAGCAGGGTAGGTCGTGGACACCAAAACCTGGACGATGTAAGAGACCATCGTCGTGCCATCCTATGCTTCTAGTTCGACGGTTTGAAACACTGTGCATATGGCCTGGATCTTTGAATCGGTTGACCGCGCGGCTGGTCTGTAGTCGTACAGGCTGGCCACATGCACAGGTCTGGGGTGCGCAAAAAGGTTGAGAGCAGAAATGCAACACAGTAGTGCCAAAGTTTGCTGCACGCGCTGAGATTATACATTCCAGATTTTTGCATAGGCAGGTTGCTCACGCAGAGTTTGTGACAGACTGCTCCAACAAAGAAAGAAAACATAGTCGCCTACGTGCGGCTGCCTGGCCATGTCCGAGGCTGCGCCTGTGGTGCGGCGTGGCAAATTACAGTATTGATGGGGGTGGATGGTGCACCTTCGGCGCCCATCAAAGTTAGCCGTGCGTGTCTAGGTGCCGGTATGAACAACGGTAATGAAGAAAGTTGCTGCCACCGGAGTATTGCTGCCTGGCTGTGTCCGAGGCAGCGCAAGCACGTCTGCGCTTCGCGCTGCAACCGGTTTTTTAAGGTTACCAATCACTTCCAGGACAAAAGCGCGCAATATGTGGGCTGCGGCCCAGGGTGTTGTTGGCTAGCCCTGGAACTGAGTGAAGTACTCCTCCCCCGCTACCGCCAGTAGCAGCGACCCACCGCCACCAAGCGTCACTGCGCGAGGTAGAGCGCGTGATGTGCGGGAGAAGAAAAAAAAAACAATCCTGGGACTGCTACCGGGGGTTTTGCAGGGCAGCCCCAGAAACCTGGATAAGGAAAAAGAGAGCGCCAGCGTGTCCAGTAGCCGCGCGGGAAGGGGGGGAGGGGCGTATTTCAGGTCGGCTAGTATAAAAAGCAGCAGCGGTACAACTGGTACACTGGGGCTGGAAACGCGCCGCCGTCGATGCGCCCTGGAAAAATGTCAGTCGCTGAAGTAGCGCTGCCTGGCTGTGTCCGAGGCTGCCCGTGCCATGGGGTTTGAAACGGCCAACCCTTAATATCATATCAAAAGCAAGGAACGCGCAATCTTTGGGCTGCGTCGCAGGGTTTCGCAGGTTCACCCCGAGCCTGGGGGGTAAGTCCACGATAATGCGAATAAGGAGGATGGTGGACAAGGGATATGTGTGCGAGAACAAAAAACAGGCAGTCCTGGGGCCGCTACACAGGGTTTTGTAAGCCAGCCCCCAACCTATCGTTAGCAAATACCACTGACGTGCCAGAAGAGCCGCGAGGATGAGGGGCGGCGCATTGCTGGTCAGTGGTCATGTCTTCCAGACTGACTGCTGGAGTGGCTGTGCTGCCTTTCAGTGTGGGTCCTTCTGCGGTAACTGACCCGCTAGGAGTACTTGGTGTGGAAAGGGTGCTTGTCTGCCGCGTGCCCAGCGTTGTAGGAAGGTTGCCATGTCTGGCTCGGCAGGCTCGTCGTAGCGTTTGCCGGCTGGGGCTTGGAAGCGGCCTCGCGCATTGTCGCCGAATGTTTGGGCGGGGGGGGGGCCCTGAATCATCCCACTGCGTGCTCGTTGAGGCTGTTGGGGCAAGTCTCGCGACGAGCTCGGCGCCCGCGTTGTCGGTCGATGCAGTTCTGGAATGTGGGGTTACCAAACTAGTGAATGAAGATGGCGCGTCGGCCGGAGATGCGCACCCGTTGTTCCCCGCGTCGGGCTGCGTCTTGACGCGCTGCAATTGCTGGCGCGGCTTGCGTCGGGAAGTACGCGCGCCGCGTCGCAAGCGTCTGCGGCGCCAGCTGCCGCCGCGAGACGGCTTGTTTCCATTGCCCTGCATGGGTGTCTTCTTCAGGCGGGCGCATGATCAGCATCGCGAGCGCGAGCGCTGGGGGGCGCGGCGGCATGCGCGTGGACGACGGCGACCATTTGATCATTCGGT